TTGAGAAGTTACTAAACAATGCTACGATAAACAAATGCTGCGAAACATATTCGGGCTAGTCTCGGCTCACACAATCAGCACCTCATTCAAATATGCCTTGTCTGAGCATCTCTGAAGCAAAAACAGGCCAGCATATTCAATTTTCCTGTAACTTCGACTCTGAAGTTTGCATCCTTACTGCAATGCAGTCAAAGACGAAAATTAAAACGAAGGGGGAACATAGCACAAAACCTCTACGTACATTAATTCTATTAAAGAAAATGTGCAACATCTTGACACACTTAAATTCACCACCACATTCAAGTCGAATGGCTTTAGGCATCCACGCTGCTTGTCATCTACTGAATCGGCCAACCCAAGTAAACGAACACATAAAGACAGACTTCAGTAGAGTGATGTGTGCCTGATTCGAAAAGCAAATTTGCATCATCGAATTCTAGCATTCCGATAACTTTGTTTTCAGACGAAGTAAATGCAAAGTTCCTTTACACGAGGTGCAAATTTACGGGGCATTTCTGCAATTAAGCAAACTGTTCCCAGTTCGGTCTAAAGATATTCAAAACAATTTACTGATGAACACTCAGTAGCAGCGTCTGCATTTGCAACTCAAAAAGCACATTTGGTAGGGGAAACCCCACTTGCAAGTTCCAATGATGGCATTCGTGGATCTCAATTTTTTACCTATCCAAGTTTTTGGGACATGCTTTTTAACATTTCTTGCGCTTTGTAAGATATCTGACCATTCAAGATGTTCTTCGGCCCCGTTCATTTTTACGTTTGCGGAAATGGTTTCATTACAAGTAAATTAATTCTCGATTGCACGTAACAGTTCCACCTCGACGTTCACCAAAGTAGTATTAGTGGTATGTAATTCGCTAAAAGAGTGATTCACCAAAATTATGTTGGGTGAAAACGACTGCCAGCTGTCTCCTCGTGGCAAACCCTGCCTGTAGGGACTTAAACAGTGCTCAATATTTAGTTTGTTTCAGTCCCCTTGCTGACTTCTTGCCAAAGGGAAACAAATGCGGCCTAATAAAAGGTACAATCTGCTGAAGTCGTTTCAACAATCCTTGACGGTGTCGGTATCGCAGCTGTTCCGGTCAGAGCTTGCTGACTTGTCAGCTACGACGACGCTTTCAACCAAGCAAAAATGATTTTGCAAGGCAAAACTTTGGATCAATTGAATGATTCTCGGGTGTGCCTCAGGAGAATTCACCTCATCTACTTTAGCTGCGTCATGTCTCCGACACATCATTTCACACATTGCTGCCCGCATTTTGTCTTGATGCAACATCCGTCAAACCAGAAGCACCACAACATGACGAATAAGCATGTCTTAGCCTGAAATCCTTCTAAATGCACCTAATTTTCAACATCTATTAGTGATGGTGGTAGTTAACATGATGTAAAAGGGGTGTGCGGTGTAATACCAAAATTCGACAGGTTCAAATTTGGTACACTTCCCTCTCATTTTTTTTTTCAACAGGCAATATTTTAGCGTATTCCGGAAAAACAATGCATTTGCCGCTCGGATTTGACTTGATTTAATTTGCAGTCAGTGGTTTAATTTGCAAAATGACCTTGCTCGTCGCAAATGCCCATAATGCCAGGGTTTGATGCACTGGGGAGATGCACGCTAGCGCACACACAGACACCACTTTTACTGGGACCTGCAACTCAATGCAGGCGCCAAAATGCAAAAAAATATTGCGATTGGAAAAAACCGATCACACTGAAGCATGCACGATTAGCTACTAAGCGTCAGTCAGCCTAATCGATGCAAGTATATCATTTATGCGTATTGGAATCGATTATGAATTTAATGGTGATGCCATAACATTCAGCGTCATCTGGCGAGGAAACGGAATAAAAGTATGAAGACAATTTTGACTTTAACAGTTTTTTTGAATAAACTGGTTGGTAAAGATACTTATGTAATTTACTTTATTATGTTTGGGAAACAATTTGATTATGTGCTGTCACATGTGGTAAATGACACGCAGGCAGACTTTAAATTCAGGTCGCCAATTAATCAAATTAACTGTCACAGCGCCATGAGGAACACCTGCGCCTTAGCTTAACATTCTTTGCAGACTAGTGTTAAAGTGGTTCTATTTCCTTGCATGTTTACGAGGGGATTAAGGTAGTCTGTGGAGCTCGGGCATGTAAATTACATGGCGACGGACCGATGCCCTTCAGACTTCGTGGTTTTTTACATGTGGATCTTGAATTCTACAGATATTGAATGATTAAAATGGATATCGCCTATGCAATAATTGTGGTAGTGTGAGTAATTTAAAGTGCACTGTGCCCTTGGCAAGCTTTTGCCTAATCGACTGATCGCATCCTAAGGCCACCTTGATGCCACGCCCCTTCCCAATTCGCACAAACACACACCTGGGCTAATCACCACAGCACTGATCGTGGACGTTGGGCCTCAAAACAGCAAATCAAAATCGTATCTGGCACGGTATTGCGAGCAAAAAAAAACTGGAGGAAATGACAATGTGTGTGGTGCGTCTGAGCAGAGACATGTAGCAGACACTTCTGCGTTTTTATCCGAATCGCAGCCACCTTTTTCACTGGAGGCTGCCACGTAGCCTTGAGTAGATAGCACATTCATACTCACAATCTCCTATTCCAGTCAATGTGGCACCCACAGTTATTTAATGGAAATGCCAAGGCATGTTTACTCAGTCATACTGTGGTTAAAACAACGGTTGTGTCTGTGATTCCTGCAAACATGAGTTGGGTCATGTGAACGTTTCTGGGTATTAGTTTGCCCGGCATATAGTCCATGTCTTATAAATAGAAGATTTCCACCAGTCTACCACAGTAGCAAGAATCAGTCATAACAGGTCTCGATTCTATAATAAAGTGTTGTATTTCCGTAAAGGAACTCGATTCTTTTCTCCTGTGGCACAATTATATGCTTTGTATGCTAGAGATATGTGCTTAAGTGAGAGGAATGCCAGCTCTCGTCTACCCATTAGTTTTTCGTCTGCTTGTTATTTCGAATGCTGTTAGTTTAATGTCACCTGAATTGAATTTTGATCAGTGTATTCTAACTTACTTACTAGTTAGTTTGTGTAGTTTTTAGAGACACTTGAAATGTTTTCATTCATCGAATTGGCCGATTATTTTAGCAGCATTATCACATCCTTTCGCAAAAGCGTCTACTTTATTCCAACTCGACCTCATCAGACCACTTATCTCAAATCGCCTTCTGAACTAAGCAAACTCAGCTCAGATTTGGCGGCACATGTCAGAGTATTCGGGCGAATGTCACAACGCCTGCGGTGTTTGAGGACCTCTACGGCTGTGCCCACCCTCAAGTGCACCCTACCTAACAATTAACTCCAAAGCGTAACCCCGCGACTGCTATGAACTGGGACGTGTACAAATGGAATTATGGTAACACAAAATGCCAATTTTTACAACTTTATTGTCTGCCATGGATTTTATGACGCAGTTCGATGGTTTAAGGCATGACTGTGTTTTGTTGATAGCAGAGGATGCTTAACACTCACACAGGGCTTTGGTTTTAGGTTCGTTTGCTTGGATAGGTGAGTAAATATCTATCATGACCACTCGAGTCACTTACATCTGGTTTGTGCTTCTTGACGTGAGTAATTCTGAAGGATGCTGGTGACATTATGCCCAATTAGACCTCATAGCCAAATGAAAGTTGTCGAGGCTGTGCAGATAAGTGGGGTATCCGGTCAAAAGCAATTAAGCATTACAGGGCGTTTACAAATTAGTTATGTAACAGGCACTCACTTAAGGGATTGTTCAATGACTCTAGAAAGTGGCAGACGTGCGCGTTTTAAATCACAGGGCTTAACACTTTACAGAACCACGAAGCAGCTCTAGTCTCACTCTCCAGTGCTTCCACGACGACTCACTCTCATTCGACGTGTGCGTGCGCACATGTGCGTAAAAGAGCTCGTCAAGCCTATATAAGGTTAGACCAGAGGGGCAAAATAGCCCCATGGGATCGTCCGAGAAGCCGTGACAAACACATACACAGGAAAGTGACTGATGTTAGTAGCGCATTGTGACCTGTTGACACATTCAGCGCATTCCACACCAGGGTTTTCTAGTGCGAGTTCTTTGCTCTCTTTAAAAATGCAGTTAAACATTTCGGCGCTACCATTTAGTTGTACTTGCGAGTGTGGGGCATCCCCACGCCAGTGTCAGCTTTCCACTTTGCAGGCATCGAAGATGACGTTGCAGATATGCTGGATTATAGGCCTTAACTGTGATCTAACAATCTTTACTGCGATTACCCTGAAAAGAAAGAATCGGCTTTCTAGGAGCCTTGTTCTACCCAATTAGTTACAGAATGCCTTTTCACATACACTACAACCTCTCCTGTACCGTGTTTAGTCTGATCAATTAACATCGCCTAATCTAGCAGTCTTCAAAAGGCTAAGTGTGAATTTAATGCTCAAGAGACGATCCCACGGCATTAAATTGGCATTGAATGCCGAGAAGGGACTTAAATATTCATTTTTGACAACCTTACTTTTAGGATTGTAATTTCTACGACCACTGTGTACTATTCAAATAAAAGCATTTTGTTTGGAGTCGTAACTTCATAAAAATCAAAACTAATCGAAAACTGCAGAACATGGATTATAACATTTTTGAAATAAAATCTGGACAGACTATCTTAAATCACACCTTGATTCAACGTCAATTGAATCTTTTCTTTTAATTATTAGAGTTAAAGGACGAATGACACATGCATTTCAAGGTCGAGGTGTCATGCTTCAGTTTTTTTGGTAATTAGTTAGTAATTCCCGGGGTTTTTCGCGACCTCTTGTGCATATGACTGTTTTGTTTTTTGGCTCTTGAATAGTACGATATGTTGAGTGCGTTTATTTCCTGCTATGTGTGCATTTTTATATTTAAATATGTATTAATTGTACAAGATTAGACTTGTAACCCCATCTACATTCGCTTGTGTCCGTTTTTTAGAATAGCTCAATTGAGATATGCAGCAATACACATACGACGACTTTCTGCGTGATCACTGTACTGCTTTAGAATCAATGAAAGTTCCTGAACTGTATTGGCCAGCATTGCATTCGAAATTACTTGGAAAAGAATTTGATGTGCCTCAGCACTTTGAACTTGGTCTTCTCAATTATACAGATCCAGAATCTGGAGACGTTGTTGATAAGGAACTTTTTGTTTCTGTTAAATCCGACGAAATTCTGTCTTCTGATTCCGACAGGTTAGTGTCCCTTTTTTCTATGATGAAATGTGTAGCATTTTTCTTATAGACCATGCCTGGACATTTGAGCTGGCTGATGTTCGAAAAACACTTGTTTCTAATCCAAGTTTGCTTTCAAGGATGGTTAACCTAATGTGTCTGAATGAAAAGGAAATTAATGGGAACGAATCCGCGGCAGTAGATGAATTTATGCGAAAGATGTGGAAGTAAGTGTGATGTGAATTAGAATTTGACAGTAACTTATTTTTTCAAACATGAATTTTTTAACTAATTGCAATTGATTTTTGTCTTAGACTAACTGTGTGTAGCGTTTACCGCAAATAAGTGTGTGCTATGCTTTTCGCTTCCTTTACGAGCCTCTCGAGGTCGTCACTGATCTTAAGTTTGCGCTTAATTGTTTGCTTTAATCATTGGTGTTCATTGGTTTATTGTCAGTTGCATTTATCCCGATTCATTTTCTAATGTCTAAAACCTTATGCCAATCCTCTGTGTCTTACTACTACTGTTATGACGGTATCGATGTGGGTTCAAGTGATGTTCCATACGTAAGTGATTAACAAAATATGGTCATTTTTGAGTAACATTTGTAAATCTTCTGGTTCTTTATATTTATTCCGGCTTCCTTTGTGTTTTTTTATGAGGATAATGGGAGCCGTGATATTGCATATACGCGGATTAAAATAAAACGAATGAACGCTTTTAATTCAGGTTTTGTCACCTCTACCAAATTTCAAAGCCGTCCGAGGTGGATGGGGACCACATTGTAATCAAAAAGGATGTTTGGTATATTCTTGATGAATTCGGATCCAGCATCAAGCAATCATCTGAACCTAATGGTTACTGACTTTTCTAACAGTAATCGCCTTTTTTCGTTTAGTTCGTGTTGCCTCATTCATGTATGTACCCGAACGACTATGCTACTCGGTGTTTTGGCCTATCGTTGATTTACACAAAGAAGGTAGTTTTCCTTTTGCATTCTCTACCTTGCTCTAGACACTCTTTATGTTGACTGGCTGTCGGCGGTGACCGATAGCGACAAAAAATCTCTCCTCCTTCTTCCGTGGGAGGATCAGGATTTCTCAGACCGTTCATCGGCTCATAGCTACGTTCTAACGGACGACTTTTTCTCGGTAAGTTCAATTTTCTATCTCCCATACAAGTCCGGTGACCGTAATAGTCGATTCTTCCATCCTTTACTTCGTATTGGTATCTTTTTGTCTCAATGGCGGTCATTGAACTCATGAGTCGGCCTTTCTTTTGTGGTATTGACATCGCCGTATTTCACCTGTTGGGGCTTTGACATAAATGTCATTTGCATAAAAGATTAATTATCAGGGCTTGTTTTGTGAAATATGCAGTTTCCTTTTCAAAATTCAATCGTTCATGTAGTCATGCGGTTTTCGGTGCCGTATCACCTTCACTAATTTTTAATGTCTCTGTTATTCTTTTTCATTGAATTTCTTGTCAGAATTTAGCTTTTGGCACACACCGAAGCCATTTTAAGTATTTATGGACCGCAGGGACCTTCACTCCTGACTCCAAATATTTAGACAATAATTTACGTATGAAAATTGGTTTAAAATGACGTATGCGCCGATCTCTGATCTTTTTTTCTTTACGAAATCCCTAGGCCACCTATTGCTTCGATAACTTTGACGTTCCCATTCGCTTTACCTTCCAACAACCTGTTGCCATTTAGTATTTGGTTGGAAATTCGTGAAGAGCGATTTCGCCTAATTTTCCGATCGCCATTACTTCGATTCACTTTTATGAATCACGTATTATACTTTCTAAAATGTCTGAATGGCAGTTCCATGTAGTTGGTTATTTATCCTACGCGATTAATGCATTGAACCTATGTGTTTTTAGTGCCTTTGTTCTTCCCTTACACTGTCCAAGTGGAGGAAAAGGGACTAATATAGTAGCATTAGTGCGTTCGGTCACCCTGGCACGTGGGTTAAAGTGTCCGGTGATTGGTCGGCATTCTCTCTATATGGTGCTACCCCTTATAACCATGTTACATAAAACCGTATCATGCTTTGTTTGTTTAGAGTCACAAAATTCAGGAATCACTGCCGGAACCAGGAGCTCCATTCGTTAGCGTCTGCAGCCTCCCCCTAAAGGTGTACACTGATATTAATCTAGTTGCCGAAACTCTTTCAAGCCCGTCGTATGAAGTAACGGAAGAACGGAATGAGGCTGATATTCTGTGGCTCTATTCGCACTTTCGCGATTACAAGTACGCTAGTCACTCGTTGTCCCTCTAATACTTTAGCTTCTAAATGATTCAGGGAAGATGGGCGCACTTATTCTCCGCAGCCTGAAATGCCGTGACTTTGATTGCTTCTTCGAGTTCGAAAATCTGATATTATCTAGTTTTCACTGTTTAATTTAGGCGACTTTCAATCGACTCGCCAAGCGTCTTTGTAAATCAATTCCCAAATGAGTCAGTTCTCACGGTAAAGGATATGCTAGCCGCCCTGGCGGCCAGCGAACGGGCGATCGAGATCAGTGGTCCCGGTGACGCGTTTGACCTTGAGAACGAGGGGTCTCCAAAACAGCCCCTGACCTGTTCCTGGTACCCAGTGACCTTTAATCTCTTCTACGAGCTCTCGCAATTTGTTGCCTTTTTCCAACGCCAGGAGGAAGAGGAGGTAGGTCCTTGGGTATTGGCGCACTCGTAGCCTTATGCGCCTCCCAAAACCTCACTCTAATTATTTTATCCATTTGACTAGAAATTATTGGCTGTGTTCTTAGAGGTTACATCAAATGCCAAACTTTCCTTGCACGATTCTTACCGCTTTGTGACCAATTGTAACTTTTGCTTTGTTAGGTAAGCCATTCTATTTAAGGGCCTGCACACAGGTAATTAAATTCTGGTTGGTCTACTGCATACTTTATGTAGTACGCATACGCCAATCAAGTGCATTTGGTGTGGTGCTTATATCAGTTGTTACCCTAGAATTGGAATGACGCGCTCCACTCATTTCCTGTCGATTGCTTTTAGTCAGAGGCGCCGGCATCGTCTACGTGTCCGCTTACTTCCAGTTGCCTCCGTTGCTCAAAAGAAGGGCAGCATATATTGGTACTGTCGGAAGTGAAAAATAACATCTGGATTATAAAGCCATGGAACCTTGGACGCGGATTGGGGATCTTCATAACCGACAACCTTGCTCAAATACTTCGTTTAACAGACAGTGGCCCTATGGTACGTTTTCCCGTCTGTCATAATTTCATTGCCATTTTGAGGGAAGTCAGTTTATTAATTGAGGGGCAACTTGTACCTAGATTTAACGGTAGCTGGTGCCTTTTGATAAGATGCCTCTGGATTTGGAGGCGTCAGTTGCATACTACACGAGATGTCCTTTGTTGTGCTAAAGTTCTATTTCACAACAAATTTTTTTGTAAATTTGGATTTACTGTCCAACCCCCCAACCCCGTATTTAACTCTCCAAACAGCAAATATTTGTCTAAAGTGCTATTCAACGTTGTTGAAGCTTCGCTTTCTCCTAGATTGCAAGTCGGTACATTTCGGATCCTGTTCTGTTTTACCGTGAGGACATTTCTAGCTGGGTTAAGTTTGATGTGCGCTACGTGGTTCTCTTGAAATCAGTTCAACCTCTGGAACTGTTCGCCCACAAAGTTTTCTGGTTGCGGTTCGCCAACAAGTACGACTTCTATTTCCTTGTTCTGATTAATTCGAACAATTTTCTCTGATTTTTTATATATTTAAGTCATTGGGTGGAATTATTTCCATATTTAAGTTAGTTAAAATAAAATGGATACGATGGATTAACGCTAATTCCTTTTGGTGACACAGGGATATTCCCTTTGTGGGCTGAATATAAGAATCAGTCGTTTGTCTGCATTATTACCTAATTCACCCCATAACCATTTAAAATTTGCTCGAAGCCGTCTGATGTTACTTCGTCATTTATGTCTTTCAGGGCTTTTTCACTGGACAACTTTGATGACTACGCTAAACACTTTACTGTAATGAACTATCGTGAGCACGATGAACTGAAGCAGGTGTGTTTGTGCGGGTTAGAATTAAACTTCGTTTTGACTTGTTCCTACTTATAGTTCTGTTTTGTAGGTCCATCACGATGAGTTCATTGAATCCTTTGAAAAACAGTATCCAAATGTGAAATGGAAGAATGTTGAGGTATTCGCGTTTACTCTGCTTTCGCTCTTGTTTTGTCACATGTTTTGAACTGAATACATGTGCTCTTTTATTCGTTCCTTGCCAATCGATATAGTATTTAGTCTATTCCAACCAATTATCTCTTTAATTCGCTGTTTTTCTGTAGAAAATCCTGATTAGTAAGTATGGGTTCTGGTATAAACTTAAGAAACCAAAATGATCAACTGCCGTAGCATTTTAATTGCTGTAATTCAGTTTGTTATTGTCGCCAATGGCGCAAACGCGTTGGTATAGCTTTTATCGATTTCTAGCCTCAGTTGTCCCCAGTGACATACTGACTAACTTGTGAACGCAATGATAAATCGCAATGTTTAAAGTGAATTCGTGGATAATTAGGCTTAACATACCTTTCTTTAATTCCTTAACCAGCACCACACTCTAAATTCTACCCTTCCGCCTTAGGCAGCAATTCACCGCACTTTGGTTGACCTCTTCACCGTGGCTTCCGCCTACCCACCTCCAAGGGGCTTGGGCGACTGCAAGCAGTCTCGTGCAATGTACGCAGTCGACCTAATGCTGGAGTGGCAGCGACGTCCCGATGTCGAGAAGGACACTTGCTTCGTCATGCAGCCTCAGGTCTGCGAGGTTAATTTCATCCCTGATTGCACTCGGGCTTGCAAATACCACCCCGAATTCCACAACGAAGTGTTTGACTGCCTCTTCCTTAACAGAGTGTCGGATAACCTGCAACAGCTGGCTTAAACGGAAATTCACTTTTTTTGTAATTTTATTATAAGGCATTAACATTTGTAATAAGAGTTTTGATTCAGCTCCGGTTCAGCATTTTCATTAATTGATCAAGGTTTTTCTATAAATTAGGTAATGTTTTGAGTTCGGAACAGCACATTCTTATCGCCATATTTACCTTAACTGACTATAGCATATATTAGATAGTTGATCCTAATTTGAGCTGAAAACATGCCTCATTAGAAAGGGGTTCTGGAAGCGGCGGTAGAATGTCGGAGATCAAGTGAACAACTTTGTTGCGGTTCAACTTTCTGTAGTTATTAAACGAACTTAGGGCGTATTTGTATTCATCAAAGTTAGTGAATGTGGTTAGTGAGCTGAAATGGGGGTGTACATAGTTTCTGAGGTAAGGGTATCTGTAATTGTATTCCAAGCGTGAATGAGTAGCACTAACGTTTAACACAAACGAGAAGTAGCAGAGGGATAAGTTTCAGTTTAAATGGGTCTTAAATAAAAGTCTGAATATATTAGATACAGGACTCGGCTAGGCATTCTGTCGTAAATAACGTAAATCAGATAATTGAGCTATTGTCATTCCCCGAGAAAACAGTGATTTATGTTATTTAGGACTTAAAGGAGGCCGAATTTTTGTTCAGTCCTGGTACTTCTGAATTGACGAAATTAGAATGGATTGTTTAAATTTTTTAAACCAGCTTCCATTCACTGTTGCAAGCCTGCGAAATAATTGTGTCAATTCCACAGAACACAATACTGCAAACTAATAGGAAAAGTTAATTTGTACAAAATTGTATACATGAGTAGAACTTTAACTTCTTCAGCCTATTCATTTCAGAAATCAAATTATTGAGTTTGGTTTGTTGGCCACATGGTAATTAAGGAAATCGGTTTTCCAGGTGGCTCGTATTATTATAATCCTTAACATCCCTTGGCGGCTTTTATGACTTACTTTTGCCCAATGATAATGTCGAATGCGTCGTTTTTGGTGTGCTATTGTAGAATACCCAGCCCCTTTTATAAAGAATGGTGCAACCGAACGTGCTTCATTGACCAATCACCGTTAGGCGTCGTCCATAAGTGTCCACCACGCTGGCCACTCAGCACTTTATATACTGCTCCTCAGTCGTGTCCTTCTCTGGTTGGCTGCTTACCTTCCTCGCATGCCACTAGAACGCAGAGAGGCACAGGATTGGCTGAGGCCAGGTGTCCTATTTGTCTGCGCTTTAATCCGTATCCACTGTAGAATACCCGAGCCCTAATAGGAAAAAGACCGGTACAACACAACAGGCTTTATTGGCCAATCAGAAGCCAGAGCCAGGCGTCAGGCGCCTTCCATCCGAGTCCACCACGCTGGCCACGCCGCTCATTATATACTGCACCTCAGTTGTGTCCTTCTCTGGTTGGCTGCTTATCTCCCTCGCACGCCATTGGAACGCAGAGAGACACAGGATTGGCTGCGGCCAGGTGGTCCAACATGTCTGCGCCCTGATCCGACGCCACACCACTGTAGAATACCCGAGACCTAATAGGTAAAAGACTGGTACAACAGAACAGGCTTTATTGACCAATCAGAAGCCAGAGCCACGCGTCAGGCGCCTTCCATCCGAGTCCACCGCGCTGGCCACGCCGCTCATTATATACTGCATCTCATCCATGTCCTTCTCTGGTTGGCTGCCTTCCTTTCCCGCGTGCCATTGGATCGCAGAGAGACACGGGATTGGCTGAGGCCAGGTGGTCCAACATGTCTGCGCCCTAATCCGACGCCACACCACAACATCTTATTAAAACTGGCTTCATTGTATCATATCTTCGGTTTCCCGGTATGATTTATTGTTTACTAAATAGTATTTTGAAAAAAAATTAATTTACATTCATTTCACAAAATTGTTACTGTTTTCATTACGTCCTCAGGCCTCGTGCCGTCCTGCAACCATGCTTTCTTAAATGCAGTTTCCTCCCACAATTTCGGAATTAACACTAAATTGTGTTGATTGTGACAAACCATTTCTTCACATACCACGCAAAGGCATCATTTCCTTGCGTTGTTAATTGCCCGTTTTCTAGAAGTGAAATAATGGTTAAGTTTTCTTTGGTTGGTCTCTCCCTTGCATTTTTAAAACTCTACCTGCTATACCATCTTTCATTCCTTGAATGCCCTTTTATCCATATTTTTATTGAGTTGGTGAGGAGTCTGTTCCCATACCTACATTGCTAAATCCATATCTTTCTCATCTGTCGGTAATACGCTGTTCATTACGGCTTGTAGCGTTCGAAGTATAACAGTAAAGGTTTGTTGTATCTCTTGATCAATTTAGTGTGTGTTTGGTTTCGTACCTTCTCTTTCAATACATCTAGGTTATGTATTTAGTTTTTCATAGTTTTCTCTTTTTTTATACACGCAGTTATTTCCGGTATTTTTTGTAGACTATGATATTGGGAATCTTTCTTTTCGTGTTCCTTCTATGTCCGGCATTTTCCTCATCGTCCACGTTATTTGAAAAAGATTGTTCTCGATTCGGTGGCCGGGTTCTCAAGCATCAATGCGTTTTATCTAGTCATTTAAATGAAACGATTATTGGGTAAGACCTTGTCTGCGGCATTCACAACCATCCTTTAAATATCCCTTTTGGCCATAAAATCTATTGTAGACTTTTTTAAAATTGTCCTAGTCTTTAAACTTCGTTGTCTTTAAAGGTAGGCCATAGACAATTAATTTTTTTTCTCAAACTTATTTTTGCCCAATTGTTGGTTTGTGTTGTTATGTTCCAAAAATCGAGCAGTTTCTTCTTATAAAGGCTGTTGCAGCATGGTACTGCCCGAAGTACTCAGAAAAGAACGAATGTTGGAGGCGCAAGAGGGGGAAAGAATCGACAATTTATTCGATCATCCCACGCGTGTTTTGTCGCGTGAGTCATGGTTCAAACTAGGTCTCGTACACTTATAAGTCTTAGTCCTGTGCAGGACAGACGTGAGTGATAGAGTTCGAATAAAGTTATGAGTAAGCAAGCATATGGATTTTTAGATGGGAGGTAAATGAGGTAGATGCATAGGGTGTGTGTGTTCAGAATAGTGGGATGCTAGTATGTCTGGATATGCGGTTGAAGAGTTGATGGACGTTGATTACCACAGCTCCTTTCTAAGCCTTTCTTGCGAAATCCTAAGTGTTTACTTATGCACGCTTTGTTCTTCAACATCAACATTAATTTTTCCCCGCCTAGAGTTATCGAGTCGTGAAGGCTTGTAAAAAAGTGTTTTATGTTTAACTTTTCAGAATCACATAGCTTAACTCGTTAACTTCTACCATAGTCTAATTTCTTCTGTTTTTGTTTTGAGTATGAGTTCAAGGTTTAAAAAACTGAATCATTTTTGTTATCTTATAGAATCGACCTCTCAAACTCAAACCTGTCTCGTCTTCCTGATTCTGTCTACTCCAAGGACCTCCTTTTCCTGTATGTCCTCGCTTTATGTATATTTTGTTGTTTTTTTTCAAAGTTACATTTTCGGAAACCCTGAAATGAAGCCTTTAGAAAGCCTGTGCAGCTGTACTTCCCTTACTCGCCTGTAAGGTCTTCTTCCATCTTTATGTGGCAGTCTCTTAGATTCAGCGGCAAAATGTCCTGGTGGCCACTATTCTTGGAATTCGACCGATAGCTTACTAAACGGCACAATTCGAGTGTGTGAAAATCAGTTGGACTTCTGCCGTACTTCTTCCAGAGGTAATCGTTTCCTTTTCGTTTCGATTAGTGGCCATTCTTATGGGTTAATAAATAAATGTTACCAATATTAAGGCAGTAGATTATTAAACCATTTCCATTGTGGGATTCAATTCAAAATTAACACGTCGTATGTTAAGCTCTTGCAACAGGTTGAAATTGGACCAGAGGTGTCTCTGAAGTAGTTTACCCTTTTTTTCGGTCATCCGAGTTTGATGTCACAGTTTCTTTCCTGTAAGTAATTAAACGATTAACAATGGGCGCCTAATGAATGTATACTCCACTATCTTGAATTTGTCTCGCCGTTCATCTCTGATTTATCACCTGAAATGTAATGAAGGTCGTTGTCCTGGCATGATCTGAGTCCGATATCGCCTTCGGCATCAGCTCCTCTCTTATCGAAAGTAGTACCGGCGCATCTGCTTTAGGGAATGTAGTAGATGCTTCATGCCAATTCACGAATTCACCGTTTGTCGATGACTGTTCCTTCGCCAAGCACTTTCCTCGGTTATCATGCGCCACCGCATAGGCTTAGCTGCCATAGAAGTTGTTGCAATGTGAAGTTGCCTATTCGAAAAAAACGGGTGTTTAGTAGATGGACGGTATTCGTAAGCAGGAGTGATGTAAAAATGTTCCCTTTATTTCTCTTCAGAAAAAAAACACGTTTTGTTCGCCATAGTTTTTGGCTGCGTTTTGAGGGTTTTTCAGATAACCTCGAACTTCCCTAGCTAATAAATTTCTAGAGCCAATTGCGCATCATTTTAATCAAGCACCTCAATTGTTTAGGGAAGCGATAGTTAAACAAAAGCATTATTATTTCCAGGGCTACACACCTTTGTGCCTGCATGAAGGCATCGGACAGTGCATTGTTGACACTTTGTGTTTCCTGGGGCTTTTATTGTGTGCATGAATTAACAGCAACACTAAAGTCGCGAGGCCCACAACCTCTCAATTAAGGCGACCGATAATAAAATGTTTTGACTGTTGAACCACATCAAACTCCAGAAAACGGTATATTTATTTTACTATTGTGGGCCCTTGTGACTCCGTTTTCATAACGTTTCCACTCTTCGCACACTGGAATTGCTTTCCCCAATTTCGTGCCTCTTCGTTTAACCTCATTAGGGATTTTTTACTCGTTTTGATTCCAATCCACCGAAGATTTTGCCCCCTTACTATCAGCACCCACACGCACGCGTCTTATTTTGCACTACTATCCACGTGATGTGTCTGCCCACAGATCGATTGCGAACCGCGTTTTTTTTCATTCCTCGAAATAGATCTGTCTTGTCCGTCCAACTCAGCCTGCGTTTTCAACGGACCAGGTTGCTTCAATTGTCTGTGCTTGTCGGACTACTTCGGTTTCCGTTGTTTATCACACGGCACCTTTCCAACCATCATATTTGTACTCTCTACGCTTGGCGTCATGATTGTAATTTGTGGTCTCCTTCTACTCTACCGATTAACCGGTCGTCAGGCAGCCTACCAGGAGGTGCCGTCTCAGGAAATCTAACAACAGAACAGGTGGGCTGTTATCCGGGGTTGATTTTCGCCCGTTGCTTTTGTGTGCAATTATTGCTCTTAGGTTGGTATGCAGCTGACATAAGCATTGTTCTGCAAATTCGTTAAGTCTGTTCTGTGATGTTGACAAGATTTCTCTTGGCACGCGCTGGTCCTCTTACTGGGGCCCCACATAGGGTGCCCCAACGTTAGTCGGTGCTCCAGCAACTTTTATTTTGTGATTCAGACTAATTGGGGAATTTCGGCATTCAATTTGTGCTTTGTCAGAAGGAAATTTTGTCCTGATCGGAAATCCAGCACTGCATCAAATTCTACCTACCCACGCCGGTCCCTTGACCCTTTCCATATTTGAGAGCCATGGCGTCGTCCACCTAAGTGTTTTCCCTCTACGCAGTTGTCTTAGTTAAATTAAATCATTTTATCCTGACCGATGGTGCATACCTTAACTACTATTGCTACTGTAAGGCCCACTCGACACTAGTAATCTTTTTTTAGGTTCCTCCATGGTTTTTTACAAGTGGACCACTGTTTCTCGTGAACCTCATCGTCATGTTCTCGAGTTTTGTGTCTAATTTTCTAATTCTCGGTGTGATAATCATTTTTTGTGTTTTATTTTATAAATTTGTTATTTCTTGCACATCGGAGATTGTTCTGCCTTGCAATTAAAGTAGTTGAGCGAAATTTAGGCATCGTCGAATCCTTTTGGGCATCGTCGAATCCTTTATCCCTCGCACTCATTTCAATTGAATGCTTCGTGGCGTCTACGTTTTTCTCGCGTTAATTCCTCGCAATTAATGGAGAATAGCCACCCTAAACAGGTCAAATTAGATTTACGCGCAAACATGCCTTACTAAGGCAAGCGGTTGTTGTATACTAAAGTGTCCCGTAGCCCTCGCTGTTGCCTGGGTGTTAGCCTTATTTACGCTTAAGTAATTCAGCGAAACTCAGCCCAGGCAAACCGTCATTTCTATCAGTTTTTCATTGTTTGTAAAAAAATTGCTGAAGGCCTTGACGTGGGCCTCTCACCCACACCAGCCTTATCCAACACCAAATACACAGGTAAGAATTCGTCGAGTTTGCTGGTAACGAATACTTGTTCAGAATGTGCAAGAACGTGGAGTTAATCACCACGGTCTCGGCACCACAACAAAGGGCGAGACCACGGTGGAGTCACCGCCGTCCCAAAACTAGGAGAGGAGGGTTTTTTCTGTCTCAACCGAAGGTCGAGTGACACGCCAATGTGCTCTCACTCATGCCTTGGGCGACCTTGAGCGTGGTAAAATTTAATAGGTTATGAGCCCTTGGCATAGGGCGGTGCGCTGAGGTTAGCATATGGTGGGAAATATAGGATTGTCAACAGTTTGAAAAGCTCAGTCATGGGAGTGCTGATTCCTCAGCCAAGACGAAGCGAGTTCGGCCGTTTATTGACCTCTCAATCGTGAACGGTCGGGGTCCGTGTCTGTGAAATTCGAGCGGATGGTCGGTTTCACAGTGAAACTTCAAATTATGCAATTTGGTTTGGCGCGGGATCTGGGGATGGATAGCAGTCGGGGTTCGAGTGGCTCAGCCAGGGATCCGGGAGTGTGATTTGGCATGCGGCCCAATCGTGTTTGTGCCATACTGGCGGTTGTGAATTAGCAGGATCCTACACAAACCCCTTTCCCTAACAAAAATAGCCAACCCCGTGCAAATCGATAGGCAGGATTTTTCCGACAAAGAAAATTGACAGTTGTTGGTCGATAGAAGCGTCGGTGGCTTCATGTTTTTGCCATACACGAAGGGTGTCTGAAAGTCAGCATTGGATCAATTAAACGTTAGTACACTGGGCTAAAATGCCGAGAATGCCACAGCCTCTGGGGTTAAAGAGTGAGTTGTGGCCAAGCCACGCTTACTGGAGATGAATTCTGGAGAGTTATTCTGAGATTGCTGAGTTCGCGTTGCGTAGCAGGACGATCATACCTGCAAACTCATATAATCGGCGTGTGTGGTCGTGTCTAGCTGGTTTCAATTTCAAGGACGCGAAGATGCCTGTGATGTAGGCTTATTGAATGCGCTTTTCTTGTCTAAGACGGCAGACTGTTGACTACCGACGGGGTCCGGATCTTCTTCAACGATGAAGAAATCCTCACACCGGAGTACTCTCCGTTCCATCGTGAGTAGAAACGACCGACAAATGCATCGTGCCTCATGGACACGTTTGTGTACATGAGACCAACGATTTTGCATTCGTGGAACAGCGTAAACGGTTCCCAACTCGCCCATTGCCTTAAATAAGGGATCGACGTTTGCGTGTGGACTGACCACCGTGCCCAGTGACCATCTGTGAAACATTGCCTCGGCATTTTCGTGTGATTCTAAAATCAATTTTGCCGCGGAATTACTCAAATCCTTCTTTAGAGCATTCCGAAGTCTGAGCAGATCAGGGGCAGTTGTTCTGTTAAAGGCGTTAAATCACATCGGAACGTTAAAGCTACTTTCAGTTGGCAGGGAAATTATACCAAACCATTGAAGTGAGAAGGGTGTGATGACATTTGAATGGGTGCCGTTACCACTGTTTCGGTCAAATACATCCGAAAACCAGCAGTCTGGACCGTAACCGCGCCTTATTATTTGAGGACAGTAAAATATTACCCAGAAGTTGTCGATGCTAGTGAACAACTATCGAAGCTGAGTCTGCTAGCGAATGTGAATATGTTTGTGGCGGAAGCCAGGACTTCGTGCCGCATTATGCTTTAAAGCCATCAACGCCTTAAAAACAGCATCAGAAACTGACAGAAGAGTATGACTGCGAGCTTTGTTGGTGCTGTGCCAGTCAGTCAACGATGAGAGGAGTCAATCGTAGGGCGATAGGGATTGGCGAATCCTCCTCTCGCCTTGGATCTTCTTCGGACGCAACCGAGCTACTCCCGAATCCCTAAGTTTTCACCATCATCTTTTAAGTGTCGGATGTGTGGTCTTGGTGTGTTTCACGCTGTCGTTTGGTGCTAATCAGACCACTCATGTCCATTCCAGACTGAAAATTAGTGGTCTCGTTTATGATTGCGCTAACCTGTCTAAAATCAAGGCCGCAGTTTGACAAATCACCCACGCTTATCCCTACCCCTCTATTAACAGAACTATCCAGAATGGGTGTTAACCTTTGGAAGGACGGGGAAGTCACCACCACAGTAATTACATGATGATAGCCTTTCCTGTAAAATGCGCTAAAATATCATTCCCTTGGGATTGGATTTTGGATTAATTGCATCCAGCGTGCGTCCGACATCGACGTCTGTGGTTCATATCACGAAGAAAAAGAAGAGGTATGTAGTTAGCACAATTGGGCATTTTTGGGACGCACTTTCTGCGAAATGCCGTAGATCAGTTACCGCCCCAACCAGGTCTGGGTGTTGTTCAAAATTGTGCAAGAAATCTAAGCTTAGCACTGGGCAGGCTATACATCGGACACTTTGTGGACCCACAGATATTTATGACCCTGTCCGGTAATCAAGATGGTAGGTGTTTGTTTTGCTGGCTGTTAGATTAATAAAATGATAAAAAAGGGGGGATTTGGGAATGGATTGCAACGTTGATGGGGAATTAGAGCATTAAATGTGTGGATATATTAATGCATGAGGTGCAAGTAAACAGTTGATTACTTCTGATAATAAAGTCAACACTGTAGAAAATTGAGAAGGCAATTAAATTAGGTCCAGTTTTACTAGTATTTTTTTGCACGAGCATGCTTCCTATGGCTTTTCCATATTGAGTTGAAGCAACATGAAAGCTAAGAAACCGAGGTTACTAAATAGACAATACACTTTTAAAGCGTTATGGCTCAAATTCGCGCAGATCCAAGTGAACGGAAGGTATTAGCATGAGGAACAATTTTTAACACGATTTCCACATTAAATTGCTTTAAATCAAAAACGTATTTTATCGTTACAACAGGAAAGTTTGGTGTAAGCAAATACCAGTGGTTGCCTGAAGTCTGCAACGAACTTAGGATCACCTTCAAGTAGGCACAGGTGAACTGTGGCTTTCGTCGGAGTAATTGCTTCTGCAGAGGGACCTATGTGGGATTCGACTCGAGGAATTCGGCACAGGATAAAATGACCAATGAAAACGGTTTAGCCGTTTATAAGACAGGAGGTCGAGTAGTAAAAGGGTGGTATGGAACAGGGTGATGAAATAAACACAAGTACACTATCAAACGTGGCAGTCGAAACACCGAGGACGCCGAGGCTTCGGGGTTTACATAAATAAACACGACTCACTTCACTCTTGTGTCGCATTTTTAGACAATAAAAAATACGCCTTCTAACCTAAACGACCAGTAGATAAGAGGGATTGTAACATTCGTCGTGTTATTTCCGTATCAATCATTGTTTTACTGTACTGATTTTTTTGGAAAGTTAGTTACTTCGTACAATGGTGGGAAGGACTCTATTTGTTGATTCCACTTACTGTATATTCTAATTATTGTCGTATTATTTATCGTTTAGGATAACGCTATTAAAATCTTCCGTGACGGATAATTTTTTTGCTGTTCTTCGGTTCCAGAGAGTATATCCACCAAGACTTATGCTGGTTTTATTTGCCAGGATTTTCTTAGGGCCACGGTGTCTTTGTTTCTTGGAGGGTGGACGGGAGGAAGCAAAACTTCAAAGCGATAATACAATAGTACTATTTGGAAAGCGCACGAAGCGCCAGAATCTCAGAAAACAACTTTTTCATGTTCTGGATTAAGGCCTGAAAGCATGCCAACCACCCATTACCACTCTAGAGAAGTATTCATGTGCACGATCAGGATGGCTGGGGGCGCATAAATTAGGCCTAAGACGTTGATATCCATTGAGTGGAAATTCCCAGAAGGCTTCATTGATTAGGTGAGCATATTATCATTTACACATGTCACTTTCACACCTGCTCCTTTTACACTAATCGAAATTCGTAAGCAGTAATGAGCTGCACGGTGTCTCTACGATCAATTCCGAAAGTGTAAAACTAAGT